TTAGTTCATGTTTTAACCAAGTGGCCATGAAATTCACATTTCTGAAAGATGCACCATTGTCCATCATAATTATACACATGGCATGCTTAGTCTGATTACTTAATATCCAGAGGCAGAGCAGGGGAACAAAGATAAAAATGCATTTTCACTATATAATCAGTTATGCCCCACCCCACAGGAACCCCTGACCCCTGGGACACATATCACAATTTTTGAAAAAGGCACCCTTGCTCATCATAAATGTTTGATTAATTTTTTATTTGCTCTTTTTTCATGTGCAATGTGATTAAAAAAACATGCAACAAGTTTTACTACATACAATAGCGTCGATCTGCATCCTACAAGACAATGTTTCGCAAATCATGAAAAATTACAATTCATACTATCTACGTATACAAATTATATGTCCATTACTTTTACCACGAAATATACTACAGGGGATCTTACTTTTTGATTATGACATTTAATTCAAACGCATAGTAAAATAATACCATTAGTTCTGAGGTAATAATGAGGAAATAATTATAATGCATCTAATATTGGTTACGAGGTTTCATTAAAAATATCTAAATTACTATTTGAGCAATAAAAAGGCATGAAAACTTTGTTCTTATTTAGGGGTATTCGAATTAGCTATAGACACTGAATGTATATAAAACTTAAAAAGCAAAATAAAGTAATTCAAACTATCACATTTTCTCTCATACAGACCTTATATAACATCCTGACAAGATAGCTTGTCTATGTGGAAAATGTGTAGATCATTCCACCAACTCAGCTATGTTAAGGAAGGAAATGGGAAATGCGATTCAAGTATGTTCCTAATATGTATAACTTTCTAATTTTTTAGAATTCGATATTTTTAAAGGCTGTATATTACACATTTATTACATGATCATAAGGGAAAAATGAAGATTTATTCAGCCAAGAAAAATCATATTCCCCGAGGGCTTCGTCCTTCGGCACCGCTCTTAAATTCACTTTCAATTTTAACGTAGTGTTACTGAATCATTAAACATAAGTGCATCAGCAAGTTTCTGACGTGAACCAGGCTTTTGTGACGTCTACTACCCTCGGGATTTTTCGTACAACGAACAATAACTTTTGCGGGAAAATGCACTTGGTCTCCGAAGAGGTTGAATATGATGAAAAGCATGACGAAGACAGGGAAATATGAAGTTTTATGGCCCTGTCACGTGACAATCTTTAACCAATCAGATAACGCGTTGTATAGAATAATTATAATGAGGTATAATAATTATTCATGTTTGTGTGACAATAGCAAATATGATTATTTTTGGCATTGGTTTTTAAACGATAAGAGCTGAAGAAGTGAATCTTCCAATAAGCGCATATAATCAAAGAAAAATATATCAGTATTACTGTAGAAAAATCTCAAGGTGAAACATCCCCTTTGATAAGTTTTCAACATTGCGTGTCAATCACCCTACCTATTGTCAAGTAGGTATAAAAGGTCTCCCTTTTTAAAGCTCAAATCATCATCAGCTCTGGCATTGTAGTCATAAAGAGCTTCCAGATATGACTTATGATCTACAATAAATTGCAAAACGCCATTATTTTTTTATACAAGATACTTCAACACAGAGGGAAAAAAGCAAACAAACATCAAACATCAATTGAATTTTAAAGGAAAAAAATCAAAACCAACAATAAATAAAACAATTTATTTTTTTTAAATAAGATGGATATGAATAATTTTTGATTTTCGAGTATAAAACGTGCTATTTCTTTGAATGAAATATGAAGATAAAGAACAGTATTCAATATCGAAAGTCAAGGTCATTGTATCGACCATAAAACGTGCAAAATGAAAACGAAACAGTTGATATCCTTGTTTCATCAATTTGTTTGTCAAAAGTTTTCCTCGAAATGATTCAAAGCAAGTCAATGTTCCTTTTCGAAAATTCTACACAAAACCACTTATTTCTTAAAAATTACTTCAGTTAGATAGTTCTTTTCTTTTTCTCATCAATATGTATGATTAAATTCACAAAAAGACAACTTTTTATCAACTAAATTAAGACAAAAGTACTTTTGAAATATGTTTTATAAAACAGAAAATAGTTATACAGAGTTGAAAAGTCATAAGTTTTTATGCTATTGATTTTAGTGAAGTTTTGTGATTTCAAAATTTCAAAAAGCTTTCTGGATTCGAGAGTTTTTTCGTGTCCATATCTGATTAACACTACTTCTCGACTGTACAGTACTCCTGAAGTTTTTCATTCACTGCTGTTGATATTTTAGTGAGGATTAAAGAGAGAGGCTCGGAAGAACATTTACTGGAACCCGCTATGTATCTATCTAAAAATCTAGGATTTGGAAGTTTTGGAATCCAGTATATGCATTATATTAAGGATTCAAGTGGTTGTTCGGATTTTTTTAAATATTGACATCTTATATGAATTTGATGTAAAATGGGAAAATGACGGACATCGATCAAAATCTTGTATTCAGTAAGCAAAAAGAATCGTGAACAGGGCAAACCATAGACCCCTGAAAACACTCGAACCTCGAACAGTTCCTGTGTCTAGGAGTAAGTATTCCCAGTCGACTGGTCACATCCGCCCTAAGCCCTATGAAATGATCAGACATACGGGTTTATTAATAGTCAACTTTAGTATAAAAGTAATGACCAGACAAATTGTATGAAAATGTCAGACAAAATACGATCCAACGATAGGTTGTATTCACAAACAAGGTCAGCTATATTTTCCATCCTGCTAGCAATTTCTAAACAAGCATGTCAAAAGCGTCCCTGGTTGTAAGTTCCATTTTTAAGGGATTATTAAGAAATAATGAAAATTCGGATGGGTTATTTAAAAGTTTTAAGATCAACCAAGAAAAAATAATTGCATTGTGAAAATTTTTCCAATATAAAAATAAAAGTTTTTCCCATTTGAATACAAACAAACAGTCCAGTGTATCAAGTACAAAACTTGTTCTTTTTTAACATAACCGTTCGCTTACACTTTCTCACTCACGTTCATTCCTAATAATATCTATAAAGTCTTTGAAAGCAGGTCTCCTAGCAATCACATTGTGCTCCCGTATTAGCCGACTTGTTTTTCATATTCCCATGAAAAAAAATATTTCAAAATTTCCTTATGAGAAGAAAAAAAAACTCTTCCTGTGGCCTTCAACTGAAGATTTAGAAATATCGACGTCGTTTCATCAGTTAACAATTGTTACTTTCATTCATATGTTGACACGATATATCCCAATGAACTCGAAATAAAGAACACAACAATATCTGTCAAATACATTACATATGTGGAAGTTTTACTGACTTAAGGTCATAATTGCCTACTTAAATCTGTATGACAAACGATGAGACCATTTAATTTGATCCGTGAAATTTTTTTTACTACTTTCGCAAGTCAGCCTTTCACGAATTCTACGATTGAGACAATGACCATGTTTGTAAATACATCCTATCTTCGGGTCATATTTTGTCTATCATGTTAAATACCATTAGTTTGATTATTTTTTATATCAAATTTGACTACTGATCCTTCCCTTTACCCTATCAATACACATAAGGCTAGTAGCGGATGTGACCTGTCGACAGGGGTTAATACTCCCCCTTAGCACCTGATCCGACCTCTGGTGTTGTAAAATATGTTCCTTGATTTTGTTCAGTATGGGTCCCTTTGCATTTCTCGTTTTCGATATCTAAATGAGTATGTTCATCGTTGTGTTTTCTTCTTACGCTACATTGAACTGAAAAAAAAAATAGGAATGTGTAGTAATTATGAAAAGGAAGTTTCTCTTTTCTGTTACACTTCAGGGAGACCTGTTAGGTATTAGAAAGTCGGAAACAGAAGAAATCAATATAATGGTTTAGATATTCAAGAATTGCAGGTTTATTTTTGAAAGAAATGTAGGCAAAATCGTGTACAGGAAGAGGTTTTAGCATATAAGCTTAACTGTCAAACACAATCCCAGCCTATGAATTATTGTTACCTGCTGCAATTTGTATTTTGTTTTAGTTTTCTATGGCTAATACAGTATCTTTACCAATATTAGAAATAGCAAAAATAAACCTGATAAAATATGCAGCCCCTATTACAAAAATCTATTTTTAAGCGTGAAAATCCTATGTATTAAATTTATCTCTGAAACAAAATTACTGATAAAATAATTGTGATCACATAGAACTTTACTTTCAGGTTTATTTTTAATTTTGAAGATTAGTGTTCAAATCATTTTTATGGTATTATTTATCTATCACAAGGAATATCCATCTACTGGTACCACATTTATTAATTTTAAGTATACATTATCACTGTCGTACAATTTTTTGAGCACTTATAAGATTTTGATATTCTATCTACAAGTGATATGTACATATTAGCAGACATGGACTCTCTATTCTACATTTTCTTATTGTAATTCCTTATGACTGCTATATGTTGAATTGTATATTTACATGTGTAGTTATATTCTTTGTAATTCAAATATAGAAGGCCCTGGGGAAGAATAGTTCATGTACTAACCAGGCTACTTTCTTTAAATAAATTTTTATTATTATTATTATTATCATTATAAGACACTTTTATTTCTACAAAAACCCGTATTCTTGAATATTTTACAAACGGTATTATATTGTTTATTGTTTATCATGTTTACATTTAAGTAATTGGAAGTGGTTTGGGCCAATCGTAACAAAAATCTACTATAGTTTATTATAGATAATTATAGTTTGTTATTTTTATTTAACTATGGGTTTCAGATTGTTAAATTTTATGTCCTCGAACTCATACCTGCACACTTTTATACAGAATAGAAATATTACTTATATATTCATACATTTTTTCGGAATTTTACATGAATGGTATCGAAATTTAGAGTTTATAAATCCTCAGAAATATTCCAGTGTAAAGTTTCGTAGTTTTCAAAGTACATAGTTAAAACAGTTAAAACTAAAGATAACTATATTAAACTATAGTAATGTTTTTGATGGAGAAATGAGATCAACATTACCTCCCTGAGCATTTAAAAAAAATGGGATTGCTGGTGATATTTAGAGTTTGATCGTCAATTTTCCATAAAAGAACAGCCTGGTATTCACCCTCATCTTCCTTTGATACTCTCTGTATCACCAACCGTCTACTGCTGCTGCCTTTGTATTTCTCTGTACCGGTGTCATTTTCCCTAACTCTCTGCCAGATAATTGGACAAGCAGAGAACTTCAATGCATGTTCTACTGTAGCCTCAAAGAAAACCTTGTACCCTATCTTGACTTTTTATCGAGATTCTTGGGAAGTCTAAAGAGGTAGGCAAGGATAGGGCTCTATTGTGCCCTAAAAATAATGTTTTAACAAGCTTTGAAATTGCTTTAATTATGAGTTTAGCATTTAAATGTTATTTAAAATGTAAAATGCTTTCGTTGGTTTGCAGCTGTTGCAGAAAAAAATGCATAACCCAGGTAAGCGGGTTATGTAAAAAAAAATTTCTGCAATAGTTGCTGCGTTAATTCCCGTATAAATTTACAAATAAAAAAACATCTCATTGTTTATTTTTATATCTTTACAAATAATCATTTAAAGAAGGGTTTAGTAGATGAAATAATGTATTATTGAAATGTACGCCATTGTAAGTTTCATTGATGGGACAGCTACTGCTCAAGAAATTTGTACAGGTGATTAACATATTGTCTACTAATAAACTAATAAACGGCAATGATTTTCTGAAGAAATAAAGGAAATTATATATAGTGGATGTAAATATGAAATCACGAAAGAATATGACATGAGGAAGGGCCATTTTGGAAATATAACGTCATAAATTTGGCACATTTCTAAATTTTAAACTGATAAAGCCCCCAAATGCCTTTTTCTGGGTTATTTGTTTAAATAAAATAGTTTCTACAGCAGTCATCACCTGCAATGTTTGGATATGTTGTGTTAGATCCTTCGAAAAATCATATTTTTCATAATTTTTATGAGAATACTTGTGCTCCACATTTCCGATGGAAAATTCCACTAGAAATTGATGTTTCCTGCGATTGTTTAGGGGAAAATGCTTACGTTCATGACGTTAAAATAAGCATTTAGGAGATCATATAAGAAAAAATGATTTGTGTGTTCTTGCTTTAGGATCTCAACAATTCAGAAAGTACGAGTATATTTTTTTACATTACTTTCATATTTTAGAAAAATACAGGACAGATGTAAATTAAAACCTTATCTTGTTCTTAAAAAAGGTACCTTTCAGTAAAATCTCCCAATTGATATTTAATTTCCATCTTCAGGAATTTTTTTACTTCATTTTCTAGTTGCTTCAAAATGAGCATTGTTCCTTCTAAAAGAATTTTGTATTTCTCCATATCCTCCATGCCAAAGTCACATTTCTCTATAATGGATAGCTCTTTCTCATAGTCAGCTGTGTATTTCTTTGATATAACAAATGCCTGGGTTCTCGGTAATATAATTTGCAAGTCTTTCCAAAGTAAAGTGAACTCTGAATCGGGCACAGTTGTAGAACCTAAATGTGGAAACATTCCATTTCTTAAAATCCTAAGACGCTCGATATCATCTCCAATTTGTTTATTTGTAGCTTTTGGTACCTTTCCCCATCCCTGTGTTGGTTTTAAGGTGGGACACAGATCGCGTATCAGTGTGTACAATAAGGACACGTCAAACTTTTCATAGTCAGGAGTAAGAGGCGGAGGAATAAAACAAATCTTTTGCTGCTCTGGCCGGAGTTTGTATCTTACGGTTGTCAGTTCCAGACATGAATTGATTGCGGTGAACAAATCTTTTGGTTGAATTTGAATTCGCAAAATATCTTTCAAGACTAGTTTTATTAGGTCAACGCAGCCAATTCCAAGACGGGCAAAGTTTTGTTGTTCAGTTGATAACAGTTTGGATGCCATTGCAATAATCTATGGGCACATCATTGTCCTACCCTAAAAAGAAATACTACAGTAAACTATAGTTAACTATAGTTTACTATAGTTAACTATAATACCAAAGTAACAACTTTGGAACTTTGATTTACTATAATAAAAACTTTGGAACTTTGATTTACTATAGTGAAAACTTTGGAACTTTGATTTACTATAGTGAAAACTTTGGAATTTTGATTTGCTATAGTGAAAACTTTGAAACTTTGATTTACTATAGTGAAAACTTTGAAACTTTGATTTACTATAGTAAAAACTTTGGAACTTTGATTTACTTTAGTGAAAACCTTGGAACTTTGATTTACTATAGTGAAAACTTTAGAACTTTGATTTACTCTAGTAAAAACTTTGGAACTTTGATTTACTAAAATGAAAACCTTGGAACTTTGATTTACTATAGTGAAAACTTTGGAACTTTGATTTATTATAGTTAACTATAGTTTACTATAGCATTTGTTTGTTAGGGTATGTTTGTTCACCTCGTTATGATCTGGATTATATCTTCGGCTCTACAAAATCAAAAAAAGCTTGTAATAGAAATGAATAAAATTAAATTTTATTGTTCAAAATTCACCACCAAAAAGGTGTCATTCATGTTTAAGTGTTTTTTAATGCTAGCATTGGATTACAGACTTCAATTTTGTGATACAAAAATACAATTTTTTTTTACCAATTTTTAAATTTTATCCCTCAATTTAAGGGAGGCGACTGGGGTTTTATTGTGTGAAAACTACTATAGAGAAACTCTTTAATTTTATACCATATGTACCTTACATTGACTTCAGTATACATCCCAAGTTTAGTGAAAATCTACTTTCTGGTTATTTTTAGGGACCATTTCAAAATACAGGTACATTTACTATGGGATTATATAGGAAAAATACTATTTTTTCGCACTTCAGAGCAAATTATACAAATGCTACTATAGGCTTTTTGGCTCAAATTATATTATTTGATGAGTAATACTATATTGTACATTTTATGCAAGAAACAGAAAATTCTTCCGTCTGGTTTCCAGTGAGAGCATCTAAAAATGTCAAAATTCATGATATTTTCCAGTTTTTATTGGGTACTATGAAACATGACAGATACCACAGATTTATATAAAAATATTATAAAACTGATTGGGAGATTCTCAATTTCCTATGTTTAAAATTTCAAGAGCATCTATTTCCTTCTTTTTAACTTCTGACATAATTAACGACCCATCTTACAGACCTTTGGTTATTCGTAACGTCAAAAACGCCCTATTACGACGTCTGTCTACCCATCATTTGAAAAATCGTTTTAAAAAATCAGTTATTGGAAAACGTATTAAAATTTTTTAACCCAAGATTTCCTAATTTTGTTAATTTTTATAAATTATTAAAGATTGTTCCTTTAAAATAGTAAACACACTTTATTTTTCTATGCTACGCGAATCGAATTATTGCGCAATGAAAACCCAAGTCGGTCCCCTTAAAGGTTAATCCTTATATAAATTCATTAAAACTAAATAGCGTGAATTCATTTAGGGTTAATTCTGAAATAATAACTTCTCGAAAAAAAGTAGAGAATACCTTAAAATGCCCAATCAATCGAGATAATAAATTCTTTCAAATGTAGGTGACCAAAAACAAACTGAATATTTTCGAATTGATTATAATGTCGAAATATCAAAAGCCTTGAATTGACAATAGAAACGTTTCAGTTTAATTTTATTGTCTTTACTTAAATTCTTATATGCTGATAAAATAAGTTCAGTTCATATATGTTGTCAAGTATTCAATAAAGCTTGGACTACAGTGAGAAAAGAAAAGTGGGTTGGTGGGTGAAACATACGGAAGCCCGTTGAGGCCAGTTTAGAGAAAGAAATATTTTTTATTGCGTTTAAACGCAAAACACTTTGCGTTTTATCGCAAAAGATTGCGATTAAACGCAATCTTTTGCGTTTAAACGCAATCATATTGCGATTAAACGCAATACTTTTTGCGTTTAAACGCAATAATATTTTTGCGTTTAAACGCAATAATTTTTGCGATTAAACGCAATACTTTTTGCGTTTAAACGCAATGATATTGCGATTAAACGCAATACTTTTGCGATTAAACGCAAAACTTTTGCGTTTAAACGCAAAACTTTTGCGTTTAAACGCAATATTATTTGCGTTTAAACGCAAAAATAATTTGCGATTAAACGCAAAAATATTTTGCTTTTAACTGGATTTATTTTTAGTGTGAACAGTTTTATACTGTAGTCATATTCCTGATTATTAAAGCAAGACGTTTGCTGAACAATGCAAGGTAAGGAATTGTGTATTGCACTTTTTTTTTAAAGAATATTTGTTTGATGCCATGCTATTATACCATACCTCTCTTGAGATTAATCGATCAATTTGTTATTGACTCTGAATTTTCAAAATTTGGAAGCAGAGATAATTGTATACAACAAAAGTTATGCCACCGCAATACGTGATAACATTTTCACTATTATTGTAGACTTAACAATATTAAATGCACAGAAAAAGAAACACCCAAGCCGTACACGCTCAGAACAGTAATCATTACGTTAAAAATTAAGTTTATATAAATTCATATTGAGTTTTTCTTAGTTGATGTTTAGAAATATTCACGAAGCCTCTCTCTGTCACACACATACACACCCACCCACCCACCCACACACAAACGCTTAAACTGTGACCTAAATGTTAATTTACATCATTAGGTTTTGATTACTTTTTGTAAAAAAGGTCAATCCTTTTATTGAATTTGTGATTTGCCAATAAGCTGTTCGTGTATCTTGCAATTTTCTCCGACTTTTCTTTGGCAAAATTCGACATCGGCTACTTTTTGATGTGGTTAGCACTGTGACGTAGTATTTGAAGTTATAACTTTAAAGTAATATCGTCTCACGAGCCCTGCTTACATTATTGAATCTTGTCGACTGCTTTTGATAGAATAAAGCATTTAGAAAAAGTGACTTGACCAAGAAAAACAACACATGTCTGATTCCCTGGAATATTGAATATTGTAATTTTTGTTGTAGTATCACAAAAAGGAAAATGGAACCTGAATTAGAGGAATTTTTAAAGCAAATGATCAACGAAATTACGATAGAGAAAATGAAAGAGCAGAAGGTAAATTTGACTGTGTGTGTGAGGGTGTCTGTGAGTGGTGTTGATGAAATCAATAGGTCTGTAAAAATATAATTTGTAAACCTATCACGGTTTTCGTGATAAACATATCTGTTTAGGTGGAAATTATAATAATAATTTTATATTTCCCAGACACGTAGTGTTTTTTTTTTCAAAGTGTAGGTTCCAACTTCCAAAATCCTTTCAAATCCAAGTTGTATTGATCAATACCAAAGTAATCTAACTTATGCTACAACAAGGGGGGAGGGGGGAGTAACCTTCGTTTCAATGAATATTTTTCGTGATAAAACACCGTGTTTGAAAAAGAGGACATCACCCGACATAGACACTACGTGCCTATATTCAAAAAGCAGAAAAGGGAATGTGTTCAGTATGGGGGTATATGATATAAATGATTATAATTAACTCATTAGAGCGGGTGTTATAGCTTTTTTAATTCAAAACAAATTCAGGTTCAGATTTACATTGTTATTGAAAGAGAGAGAGAGAGAAAAGAGAAAGAGAGAGATTTAAAAACAAAGATCTACGGATGGTTAAATGTTAATCAAAACGCAGATAAAAAATGCAACGCTAATTAATTTGAACATGTATCATCAAAACTGAAACCATAAGAAAATATGAAATCGCAAATAGACAGACAAATTTTGCAAGTGACTGAAGAGAAAGACAAATGGGAGGGGGTTTCTTGGGAATTAATTTGAGAAATTTCATCACTCATAATGGTTTAGAAACGATAAAAAAACGTAAGACAGAAGTAAATAATGAAGGAACAATGTATATCTTTGAATTTTTCAGTTTGATTTCAAATGGTAACTAGCTCTTAGTAGAGATGTTTCTGAATATGAAACGAATCGGAATCTGAAAATGAATCTGAAACGAATCTGAATCGGAGGGATCTTGATCCCGATTTGAAAATGAACACACGTATGATTACAGATTTTTTTTCTTTGGTATATCAATCTGTAATCTTATAAGAGGTTTAATGTGTTTGTGAGACCCACCCACCCACCCCCTCCGAAAAAAAACCACCACAAAATCCTGGGAGTAAAAAGTCCATGATGTAAATCGTATATGGATGTTATATTTGTACCTTACTTGTAGCAATGTGAAAAATAAGAGTTAATGAAGTAAGCTAGATTAATATTTCTTGGGGCTAGAAAGTATGTTTGAAATGTCAAGGGTGAACCAGGAAATTTGCTCAGGGCGGGGAGGGGGACATACTAATAAATTCCCACAAGGAGATAAATCATCACCATTTCTCCGACTCGGATATTTTTTGACAAAAAAAATTATCTCAATTCTCTCCGGACGTGAAAAAAAAACAATCTGTGTGTGGGGGCTTGTCAAGCTTGCGTAATTCTCCTTGACCAGCTGCCGAGCGGTCCGTCCGTGTTTCCCAAAGGAGGGGGGTTGGGGGAGGGGCTGGCAAGTTCATCTTTGTTCAACTATATTACATACAATTTACTAACTCTAAAAAATAGGGGGCGAAGCTGGATTACTTTGACACCTTCCACCACTTGATCGCTACTGAACGGCCTCGATCTCAGTTCAAGTCGTCAAAAAATAATTGCATAATATCGGGCCCGTAAGAACTGGGGGAGATATGGAGACCAGCCCCCTCCCCCCTTCCTATTAATTTTGCCGCTATATACTGCACAATATAATCAGATCAAAATTATCAAAATTACTGTTATGTCCCTCATAAATAAAGCTTGTAGACTTGATTTTTGTTCAATTGCGCCCCATCCCCGTAATGTTACTTCATCCTATAGATCAGCCATATTACATACTACATGTAGTAATAAGTGTCTTTTTAATACGTACGAAAGCTATCAGTTTTGTATTATTTTATTGTTCAACTCACTAGATATTCGTTCCTCGGGAGAATTGTGTTCTTTGAGATGTAGGAGACAAATTACACTTTTAACTATTCATTTTAACAAGCTACATTCTTCGTCAATCAAGGAAATGACAGGAAACGTTAAAACTAAAAGCTTGTAGACATCAATGTAAATCGCCAAAAACCTTCGACAAAAAATTGGCCTGCGAGAATGTGGCCAAGGGGTTGCTTAAAGGTTATTTATCCGACATAATTTTCAATTGCATATAACTATATAAAATGACTCGTATGAATACATTAATTACACAGAATATTTTTTTAAAAGAGTACAGAACACGATTCTTGCGAGAAACAAATAATGTAAGTAGGTGAATAATACAACAATGATACTTTTACGAGCAGGTTTTTCCGTGAATTGAAAGGGTACCTGTTTCTGTTTTTCAGTCTACAGAATTTGACTTGTCCCTTTTATAACACCCCCATCCCAATGACAAAATAATAACATCACTCACTATTTTTTAAATGACATATCAAACAGAGATACATGTACTTGTATTTAACCATCGTCGGATGCCCACGAGTGATCTCATCTTTTACTCATCAGTGGGTGATGAGTAAAAGACGAGATCACCCGTGGGTATCCGGCGATGGTACTTCGCAACAGTAATTGTGAACTAGTTAAATTCAGAAGGAGAAGAATCAAACACTTTTCAAATCAAAATTCGATATATTCCTAGTCATAGTAAAACTGAAAAATAAATCACAAAAATGAATATATATTATTTTTATTCATTGTATAATAAGTGAAGAAATTTTCTTATGATGATATATATCTTTTTCAGTTTTGAAATCGGAATCGAGATCCCTCCGATTCAGATTTGTTTCAGATTCATTTTCAGATTCGGATTCGTTTCAGATTCAGAAACATCTCTAGTACTCAATAGTTAAAAAGGTTTAGTTTGACATACATTTAATTCACAAAGAGGTTATTTGGGCATTTTTATATTGCTAAGTCGCCAATGATCCAGTGAAACCACAGGCACTTGAAATATGGATCGGTACCCCCCCCCCCCCCGTGATAAAAAATAGCAATAGCTTATAATTTCTAGTTTCAGAAGTTTTCCCTCAACGAGTTTATAAAAATACTAGTATTTCTAAATACCCATTAGAGGCAACCTCTGAAACTAATCGAAAACGGAAAATATCAGAAATCGAAATAAAGGTATAGTAGATTAGGAATTCGTGTATTTTGGAAAAATTATTGTGTCTAAAAAAATACTCCGAAGCTGGGGGGGGGGGGGATCCATTTGTCCATAGGGACTTGTCTTCCGGATTGTTAAATGTAAAATAAATTAATAAAATTTTGAATCTACTTAAAATACACTTAAAAGTTGTTAAAATACACTTAAAAGTTGTTAAAATAAAGATTCTGACACTTTCGGTCCACAGGTACTTGTGGACAGGAACCCCCCCCCCCCCCGATATTCAACCCCAGGGCTTTTTGGACATTTTTTCACAAATTATATTTATTACACTTATTCATCATGTGTACCATAGGAAAAAATCGTGAAAACCCCAAAATAATCGTTCCACACAAAAATACCTCATTATACATTATAAGAGAGATCTTTTTTCTCTAAATAAATTACACAATCATAGTAAGGTTACATAAGATTTCGTATCAAAATTATAATTTGTTAAAATTAAATGGTTCTTAATATTTGAAAACAAATTTTGCACAAAGTGGCAAGGGTTTGATGTAAATGATGATAACCGAACGTTTATCTACTTGAAATTGAAACTATCAAAAAAGTACATAACATTTGGAATATTCTGAATTTTTTTCTTCCGGTGTATCAGTCGCAGCGGCGGATCCAGGAGTTTCATCATGGGGGGTGGGGGCGCAGTAGAAGGCAGGGGGTCTGGGGGTTGCATTGAAGCCGCCAGCGGGTCCAGAGCAGAGCCCTGGTGGGGTCCGGGGGTGTTATTTCCCTTGATTTTAGGATAATACAAACAAAATTTCAACAACAAAAAAAAATCAAACGGGGGGGGGGGGGGGGCGCACGCCCGGCGCGCTGGCGCTGGATCCGCCTTTGAGTCGTCAGTAAACAAAGACTGTAGTCGCTTTATGATATACTTACATGTATTGACAACTCAAGTAAGGATCGAAAAGAATTGTGTTCGGGAAGATAATTTTACGTGTGTCTCAAACTTATCGACAGTTCTCTCTCTAGGACGGTAGTGAGCCCCTGTCTGAATCCGCGCTTGTCGCGTTGTACATTCTCTTTATTAGCTTTCTAAGTCATCATTCTATTATTCCAGGGGCGTAGCATCATTTTTGAAAGGGGGGGGGGGGCTACCAGAGAAAGAGAGAAAATTCAACTTTCCTAAATCATTGATCAAAGGTTTAAATCCGAGATAAGCAACCGGGCAATAATTGTATGAGAACATTCCCATGTTCTTTGCAAGTTATAGTCTCATATACTTGTTATTATTCTAGTCAAACATTAATAAATACAATAAAATAATTTTGCTTTGTAGGTGACTCTTTCCGTCCTTCAAAAAATGAGCGAAAAAGACATCACAGAGTTTTTACCCAAAGTAGGAGATCGCGTCAATTTAAGGATATTTTTGGAACAAATGAAGAACAAAAAGAAAAAACCAAAATCATCCATTCTTCAAACGCTGCGTCAAAAAATGGGTGTACGAGGAAAAGAATCTCTGAGTAGCAGTTCCAGTGATGAAGGCCCATCTACTTCAAAGGCAAAGAAACAGAAGACTCATATGGCTAGAGTTGGGAATAAGAGTGCAAATAAAAATATGCGAAAAGTGGAAGTTGGCTGGATTCATGGGGGAAAGCAAGTGAGAACTCCCAGAGGTGGTGGGACAAGAAAGCTGGACCTCCCAAAATTCTATAAGAAAGACGAAATTTTGGAAGAAGTCAAGCCTCTGTTCTTTCCCCAGGGAAAATCATCTGTGGGGAAAAAGGAAGATTTTCATTTTTCAGTAGTTGATTTTTCTCAAGAAGATATTGCAGATAAATCTATTAATGATTTATATATAGCATCTAAAATGTCAACTCTTCGTCTCTATCTTATAACATCAAAGAAACATCATGATGGCGAATCCACAATAAATGACAGATATTCATCTGGCGAGGATCTTCCAGATCCAATGCTTTCTCTTGTCCATATTGAAAAAGAAAGGGCACCCGGAACAGCTAGTTCCCCAGATGATGCAAGTCATTTAAACATTCCAGATCACATCTCTGAAGGGGATTTTCCACCTGCTACATTAAAGTCTGCACAGTCACCCGTAAACGTGCTTCCTGGAGAGATTGTCACTTTTGAGAATGTTCCTGCTGGGAGTATATTACTGGATTTTCAAAACTATATTTACGACCCATAGATAGAATTTGGGCCCTCGCAGTTATTAAGAAACGACCTCGATGAAACATTACCAGCAAGTGCAGTTGTCAAAAATCTTGTTATAAAGAGGGGTAATGCTTTCTCTGACGTCATGAAGTTTTTTGTAAAGCAAGAGTTCAACTTAAGAACTGACACACTACAACTTTCAATATTGACAGAGAAGGGGGAGGATTCCGGGGGTGTTTTTCGGGATGCCATGTCGGAATTTTGGGATACTTTTTATTTAAAACACACTGAAGGAAGTGATGTTAAAATTCCTACTACAGTGCACATCATGAAGCAGGAGGAATGGGAAGCCGTAGCCAAAGTTCTAGTGTTGTCCTTCAAGCAAGAAAAGTATTTTCCAATACAGCTTTCACAAATCTTTCTGAAAAAATGTATTTTTGATATTACCCCAACAAATGAGGAGCTACTCGAGTCATTCATGGCATTTTTGCCTGATATGGACAGAGGACTTATTAAAGATGCTCTTGATGATTTTAATGGTGTGGAGGAAAATGAACTTCTCGATGCTTTATCGAATTTTAATCTGAGAGTCTATCCTACTAAGGAAAATTTTAGAAAGCTTTTGATTGAGTTGGCTCATCATGAACTAATTCAAAAACCGTCTTTTGTCACACTTTGTTGGTTTCCTATATTTAGTAGTCATTTGAAGCCTCTGATAGGTAGACTGGAAGAAATATATGAGCAAAGCAAAGTTACCAACAAAAAAGTCCTGAATTTGTTTGTTTTTCCAGAAGATCTGACAAAAGCCGAGAAAGCAACGGCCGATTCTCTTAAGCGGTACATCAAGACGTGTTCAACTGAGAAACTGACCTTGCTTTTACGATTCTGCACTGGATCGGACATTATAATTGGAAAGAAAATTACTGTTCGATTTACACCCCCTATGCCTGAATTTACACTTTGTCCAGTGGCCCACACATGTGGCTGTGTGTTGGAGCTGTCCAGAAGTTACGACAACTTTCTGTTATGAGGGAGCACTTGGAAAACGTGCTAGACACAAAAGTACTGAGAATGGATATTGTGTAAATGTGCTATACCTTATCTGAGAAATAATGTAAATGAGTCGTGAACATCGATTTTTTTTTTAAATGACAGATTTTGATACTGTTGACCTCCCCATTCTACCTTTTTTTTAAGTTAAATTCAAACATATAGATAATGTAAGAAATTCTGAATATTTGAATCTTAATGCATGTTATAATGAGTAGACAAATAGTCTGTGGGGAAAAAGTCGTATCAGTTGCCGAAGTACAGTGTTGTGGCCATTGTTTGTTAACAATTTAGAATTTTAAACATATGTTTTTCTCTCTATTGGTTCATCTTTATTTGCCAAAAATAAAAGTTATCTGTTTTAAGCTTTACCTCTACCGTAAATTTGGTGTTCATTAAAGAAATATAAAAATTGTAACTGTATTTCTTGTCTGTCGATCTTCGTTTTCATGCATTAATTGGTATTTATTAGTTTTACCCATACCAATTATGACGCTACATAATTAGATTATGAAAGGACTGTATGTAATCTAACAAATAGAAAATGAAGGAAATGTGTTTGAATGAATGCGATCTACCCTACACATTCTAGTGTGTACATTCTGACGAATGTAGACTCTGTTAGTTCTTTGCATTTCAACAGTGTAATTTTTAATCTTTAACGAAATGACCCTTCTACAGATGTTTTACTAATCCTCTGCCAAAAAAGTATGATGGAGGCCAGGGTACTGCCCTTCTCCCGAAATTTAATACTTCTAGACTTACAGGTGTGGTATTTTTACTGCTCACAAAACCATTTGCTCTATTCCGATTATGTACAGCGCTTAGCCATCATGTAGCTGCACACTGAAGATTCATTCAGGGGAAGGGGGTCCTGACAGTTCCCCTTTTGATTTTAAGAGTTATTTAATTTACAAAGTAAAAGTACGAAAAACGAGTTTGCGACCCTCCTTAGAAAACATGGCTCCTGGTGGAAATGGTAAGGAGAGTTAAATGTATGATAAAGCAAAGCTACTCCCCCCCCCCCCCCCCCCATGGTTTTTTTTTTTTAGTTTGGACATTTTAAATCCTTTTTGCCTGTCAAAAAATTCTGAGTTGGATGTTTTGAGTAGATATGAATTCCTAACCCTCAGCCAAAAGGGAATACCCTTTTCCGCGCCTGCATTGGAACATTTGTCGTGGAACAAAAAAACTTTTCTCTTTAAAGATTACTTGTAATAGAAAATCCACAACGCTTATAAACAAAACAAAAGGGAAACCCCTGTTAATAAATTCTAATGCTTAATTTAAATTAAAGTTGTCAAACATAGTATAGTTTTTGAAGATTGGTGTCAGCTAGGAAAAAATGACAATAAACCTGAAAAAAAAACTTTGACGGGCAAACAAATGAAAAATGTCTCCAAACTCGAAAACCTATGTAGTGTGGGTGTGGGGGGGGGGGGGGGGGGGTAGGTTCCAACTTTCTTTCACAACTCAGTTTTTTAATGCATTATCAAATTACCATGATTTTACTACGCTACAACATAAATTGGAGAGGGACCAACCCTTTAATGAACATTTTCTGTAGAAAAAAAATGTTTTGTTTGGGAATAGGTCGGTGGGGGGGGGGGGGGGGGAGCCCACCATGATAGTAAGTGCCTGCAGTTCTAAGTGTCTCTTAATTATATTGTTATTTTTTAATACATGTATACGTAAGTTGTGCGTCATTTGTAACATACATATATACATGTTCATATTGTCTCCCGGCAGCAGTCTCGGGCTGCTCTTACCCCCAATGCACATTTTGTCTTTTTAGGATGATTATGATTATTGTAATGAAGGATATAGAAATTTCATGAGGACATAGTAGTCTTATGTTCATTAAAAGACGTATCAAATGCGCTATGTGCTTGATACTCGTAAAATATCCTTTAAAATCCCCCCTCACCCCTGATCGAGGTAAAGACCATATCCAACAACAAAAATTGAATTTTCAGTGTTTGATATTATTGGGTCCTCTTTCTGCTGGTATCTGTATTTAGCTGTTTATTATTATGCACCCCCCGCAAACTTAGTTCATGGGAGGCGGAAATGGGGATCATTTTATTAGATTGATCGGCTCTCCGTACAATCGTGTCCTGAGTATAACTTTAAAATATAAATGGGGTACGTTAGAAGCTCCTAACTGACTCAAAGATTGCTTTTGTCCAAATATTTAAACAGAAAAAAATTCTCCGGAGCTGTGGGAATGTCATAGCCTTACCAAAGGTTATTGGCACAAAAATTTATGCCTGTTGCACAACATGCTAATAGAGAAACATTGAAAGTTCATACGTTACTCAAGTTTACTGTCCAAAGGATTTGTTATTTTCTTGAAACAAAGTTATTGGGTTGTTACATATAGAATTATGTATATGGACACTTTTGAAAGTGAAGGGGGGGGGGCTGTCAGAGAAGAAAATTTCCTCTAATCTAAAACAGGGAGATACTGAATATGGAAAAAGCTATTTCCTGTGTATTAGGGTGGGAAGGGGGGTTCACACCTTTTTTATGACCAAATTATTATTCATACATTATCACAACATTATGCTTTGACTAGGATGCAACAAAAACAGTGGGGATCACTCTTTCAATGAACATTTTTAAATAGTAAAAAGCAATTGTTTGTCAAAAAATGCTTCTGATACTACATCCCTTCATAGATAATAAAATCTTAATATTTTTTGCCACTGCGGCACAGTGGATTTGACATACATTCATTTGTTTCAGATTTTATTTTCACTCGTGAAATAAAAATCAATTGACAAATTACAGCATTTTTGTTGTTGATACATATACCGAGTCAATAGCGTTATTTACTGATTGAAAATAACACAACATTTTGTAAATAAGGCAAAAAATTCTTTATTGAAACAACCGGTAAAGTTTTGTTGCCTTTGCAAAAGTCTATAAATGATATATTTCACGATTTGCCAGGTTACGAAGAGTTACATACAAATTACAGGCATCTTCCAGACAGTTAGGCGACGCTATGTAGTTCTCTTCCATCAAGATTTTGAAAAATTCATGCATGTCGGGGTCAGATGGGGTGTTCTTGTTAAATGAGCATTCGTTTCTGCAGACCTCGAGAACATGTTGATCTAGTGGTATCGAATAATCTCTAGTACCTTCTAATTCTGGTAGACAATAAAGAATACAAGGTTTGCCTGCTGGGACGTTTCCATTTCTAGTTGGACGAATCCGATGAGTATTCCAGACAGATACTGCTTCATTTATATCTTTCTAGATGTGAATAAAAAGTATGCAAAATTAAGATATTTTGATAAAGAGTTTGGAATATGCAAGGCATTTCCCTTATATATTTATATTTCGATGATGTAAGTTCTCAGTTTCAAAACTAATAAATCCTCCTGTCGAATGAGTAAATTGAATTTGCAAAGGTTTTCAAGAAATTAAAAAAAACCAACTTCCTTTACTTATACAACGTACCGAGCCAACAAAAGATAGTAAATAACATTTTCTTCTGGTTATAAATTTAGTTGCATATACATGTATACAGGTAAATATGAACCACAACTTTACTGAAGTCCGCACGATCTATTTATCATGAAAATTTTACACCCACCCCCCGAAAAAGGATGTATTTAATAAAATGACATGATACGAATTAATAGCTGAATGAAGCTCTGATTAGTTAGTACAATGGTTAAAAAAGGACAGTGGCTATCAAGAAAACAAAACCGTGATAAACAAACGGACGGAGTATGTTTTGTTTGCGCTCAGTCTCTCTTTTATCAAATGTAAACTTAAGTACATGTACCTGCACAAATTCCATGAAAACCAACTGGACAAGATTTTTATCTATGATGTCACCTGTGTATTTCCCAATGTCTCTTAAGTGTCCAAAAAACTCAATCCAAAATTGACAGCATTCCATCCGCAAATGTCGCCAAAATGCCTCTATTCTTTGGTTACCTGTACTTGGTCCATAAATAAACGTACCTTGGTCCGTAAGAACACTTTGCATCTCTGCAATATTCTTATTCTCTGTTCCACGATCCCCTCTTACTTTTTTTGGACATGCTCTAAGTTTTTCTATAGATGTTATAAAATGTCCAGCTATTATACGAGGATCGCTACTTGAAAAAGTTACTTCACACCATATAATTTTCCTGGAGTAGCCATCAATGCAACCGTTAATGCAAATCCCATAATTTTTTAATTTATCGTACGAATCGACATGCCACAAGTAATTAGGTCCTTTGGCATAATACTCCCTGCGACGAAGTCTTTTCCGTTTTCTCAATTCCACCCCCTCTGGATCAAGAATAGAGAGAAGCCCTGCTACTGTCATTCTAGATACTCTGAATCCAGCTAGCAAACATCGTTGGAACATCCATCGATACCCAGTCTGCATACCATCCTTTTCAATTAATGTTGAGAGAAAGTCAGAAACACTGATTATGGAAGACATGTTTTTTCTCCTGTACAAATTCATAGCAGCAAGTCTTCTTTTCAATGTACGTTCACTCAGAAAAATATGATGCTGTAAAGCTAAGCAACACACTATTTCATGATAAGTTAATCCAATTGAGAAATAAAAGTAGATCAGTTCCTGTGTGTCCATTGCTACATAGAAAGTTTGGTCTTGCATCAAACGCTTCGACTTAACAAATAATATAAGAATCATTATTAATTGCGTTTAAATATTAAAGTTATTGCGTTTAAACGCAATACTTATTGCGTTTAATCGCAATACTTATTGCGTTTAAACGCAAAAATTATTGCGTTTAATCGCAAAATTATTGCGTTTAAACGCAAAATTATTGCGTTTAATCGCAAAATCATTGCGTTTAAACGCAAAAATTATTGCGTTTAAACGCAAAAATTATTGCGTTTAAACGCAAAAATATTATTGCAATTAAACGCAAAAATTATTGCGTTTAATCGCAAAAGATTGCGTTAAATCGCAATCTTTTGCGATTAAACGCAAAGTGTTTT